CAACTGGTGCACCAGGCGAACCTGGGCAAATGCCCCCCTGGTCACAGCCGACAAATGGTGTTCGAAAGTCAGCTGTGGGTACACCATTAGCCACTATGAAGGCTTTTAGCTTCAGATGCTATCAATTACTGTCATGAATTGTGGCTTTAGTGTTGAGTTTTTACAGTATCTCAATCTATGTTGATGGGGGTGGTGGGGAGAAGATGCTTTAGTAGCTGGCTGATGGCTCTCAGCATCTCTGCTGGAATGGGCTCAGCTTCTCCTTTTAATTTGTCTGCTGTTGACTTACCTGAATCTATGGCTTCTCCTCCTTAGTCATCTGCTAAGCTGCACTTTACTCTGATGGCTGCTCCACTTCTCTGCTTCCCCTGCATGAAAATTGCTTTCCATTGATACCTGGATAAGCAGTTGTAACCAGCTATAACCAGGCACTGATAATGTTACCTAGTTAGGGTAATGAAATGTCTGCAAAAAAAAAAAAAAGGTCAGAGAGCACCAAGGACCCTTACAACAAGCATGTCCAGGTGCTCTTTGGGCCACTTAAAGTCCCAGGAAGAAAAAACAAAGGAAAGACAGACCTCATGCTGGCCACTCCAAGGCAGATTTAACAATTTTTAAGGAAAATCAAGCAACGTATTACTACTAGTAATTGTAGAAATCTAAGTATACTGCAAATAGAATGCAATGGAATTGGCCTGAAAAATACTGAGATACAGAAAACTGAATTATATAGGCAATTGAGTAATAAATACAACAGATGCCTTCATGAGTGGTCCAAATTTTGTCTAGAAAAAAGAAAAATTCAAATGTGGATTGGCCACTCTCACACTTGAGCCCTTTTCCTTTGATGGATATCAGTTTGATTGTCTTGGTGGTTTAAATAATGTGGTATTTCTTTGGTATCTACTATTCTTTTCCTTTGAGTATCTTGCCTGGTGGCCCCAATTCTCTATTTCCTACTTGATTTTTTAAAAAAACTCAACTGCACAATCCATGTTTGTGATCAAAATAATTCCTATTAATATGATGTTATATCACTTCCTGTGTGTTTTTTCTAGACATTATATATGGGACAGTTTATGATAGGATAAAAAGGTAGCAAATCCAGTAGCATTGTTTTTTCAAAATAATAAATTTTATTAAGAGGCGTAAGCTGTTGAAAGACTCCTGATTTTCTGCTTTTTCTGTATTTCTATTTGTGAGTGGAATCTCAGAAATAAAATAATACAGTTTATGGCTGACCAAATTGCTCAAGTTAAATAGGTCTTTACTGATCCATACTTGCAGCTTCTTTGCTCTGTGCTAATTCTCCAATTAGATTCTTTTATCTTTGCCATGTTAAAGAAAATGTGTGAGAGAAAAATATTAATTTACTCTCTCTTTGGAGCTTTGCCCTCCAAAAAAATATAGAGGTGCATTTAAAAAAAGAAAACAGAGCTATAGAAGATCCTGATAGAGCAGCCTTTTATCCAAATAGGTTTCCTTGGTTGTACTGTAGACCAACATCATAAAAGGCACTAGATTGGAAAAGATGGTAATAGATCTTCCATTCTGAAACTTGTTCACCCTATATAATGTACTATTTAATGGTATTGCATGGTTCCACAAATATCCTAGTTGCCTATATTACAAATCAGGCCTAATACTTAAGCTTATAAAGGTGACATTTTTTTTTATTTTTGTCCTTCCCAAATGACTGTAGTGGTTTGCAAGAAGAACTTGGATAGCACTACGGTGGCTGTGCATGGAGAAGAGATCTACTGCAAGTCATGCTATGGGAAGAAATATGGACCGAAAGGCTATGGCTATGGACAAGGAGCTGGGACCTTAAGCATGGACAAGGGTGAAGCATTGGGGATCAAACCTGAAGAGTGAGTTGTACTAATGAGAAATCTGCAATGTGTGATTGCTTAATATATTGATTTGAATTCATATCGTTATTCAAATATTGCGGTTACAAAGAATGTAGATGTTGCCTAGATAAAAATCCAATTTGCAGCGAAGTAAGCTATTAAATGTCTTCCGTTATGAAACATATTCCTAGCGTCAGACCTGGAAACAATCTTTTACATTGGGCCTTCAGGCCTGCCACATTTTTTACTGGGGGGAAATGGGAGGGGGGAATTATATGGAGTATGGGTAATATATAGTTAAAATAACATTCCTTTCTCAGAGAGTCAAGGACACCTTGTCCTGCAGCTATGATGGTGTGACTGGGAGGCATCTCCAGTTTTGGATGGTGCCTGATTGGATCATGTGATGGACATGTGGGTGCTGGGCAGAGACTTAAACTTTCATTTGGGCGGGGAAACCTGGAAACTTTCAGTTTTGGGTTTTCCGAGATGTGCCAATATGACATCTCTAATAAAATGGAACTTTGAGGAAACTCAAGCCTCGGAGTCTTCTTTCATTGGGGGTATTACTTGGAACCTTGATGCATAGGTCTCAAATGCAATTCATTCTAAACCTAATTATGACCTATTTATATCAAATGCTAGATTTTTATTGAACTATGGCGTGAAAGTTGATTTTTTTTAGGTGGGTGAAAGAAGGTTGGTAAATTGTATATCCAGCATTCTTTAGGTCCCTTACAAGTCTCTGTTCAAAATTACATGCTTTTACTTAGGGGAAATAAGAATAGCTAGAAAAAAAGGGACTGCCGGAAAATGTTTGTCCAGTACTGGTATTCATGCCCTGAGATTTTGGAGTGAAAAGCAGAGCAGCTTATTAGGTAGCAAAGGCAGGAGTTACAACGGTTTTTTAAAGAGCCAATTAGATGTTCAGAGTAAAAGCTTGGAGGTGTCTTTGATCAGTAATTTTTCTACAGTAAAATACCTATAGCAAATGAATTTGAAGGCTATAAAGTTGAAAATTATGCATTTTCATAACTTTATTAAGAATTACAATAGTTAAAAACAAATACAAATTAAACTGAGAAAAAGAGGAGAGAATGGAAAGGGAAAGAAGAAAAGCAGTCTGTTTTGTAAGACATTGTCAATTTTTTTTCATCTTGAATATTTATTAATCCATCACCATAGTGATAACAATATTGGGAACATAAGCAAATTCAGTAGTCTTATAGTGTTTAACACTGATTTCAAAATTGTCAAGTCTTACGGCTTTCTCACTTATCTTACACTCTAAATAAAAATAAAAAATAATAACCAGCCTGATTTTTTTATGTATTTGTGCCTAGGATACTGACGATTTCTTTCTCCCCTCCCCAATATTTCCTCTCTCATATTCTCTCAACATACACGGACATGGGACTATGAAATGACTCTTTTCTTGCTTTGGCCCCACAGATCTCATGCCCATTTCCCAACCAACAATCCTAATGCATCCAAGATTGCCCAAAAGGTGGGTGGATCTGATGGCTGCCCTCGCTGTGGGCAGGCTGTCTATGCTGCAGAGAAGGTGGTTGGAGCTGGAAAGGTAAGAACGAGTAGATAGCAAATATGAGCATACTAATTTAGGCTAAATCGGGCTTTTTCTTTTTGAGCCTATAAAAGTCTGTGTTACATTTTAAATTAATTCTGCTAGCTATACTTGTGTAATAAATTCATAAGTGAATAGGTTTGTAGGAAAGAATAGAATACTCTTCCTTGAAATTCTATGCTTCAGGGTGTCTAAAACGGAGAATGTAGTGTCTCTCCTGATATTCTTAATGCACAACTCCCGCTATTCTTCATCACTGCTTACTAGGGATTTTATTCATTAATACTCAGGATAACTCAATTTCCTATCATTGCGATAAATGCTAGCAGTACAATTGAAGCTAAATGACTTTCCAAGGCTATAATTATTATAAAGAAAGATGATTGGTGCATGCATTTGAGAATAAAAATGCTAGAATCAAGAAATAATCACTTGTTACATATATGTTAGGAATATAATCTAACGGTTGGCTTGGCAATATATAAATCGTACCCGCTCTCCCAACGGGGAGCTTACTTAACAGATACTATTGTGCATTATCTGCAAATTTGATGTTGCAAGTAAGTTCTGCAAATTTAAAAAAAAACATGCAGAATCCCCCTTCTTTCGGAGAAAATATTACCATGGTCTTTCAGAGAATATTTTTATACAGACTAATGTAAGAAATGGGAAGCTGATAGAATGGCTATTGGCCTTTATACATCAATTTTATGGAGGGCAATGCTTTTCCAGTCACGCTCATCTAGGATGTCAAAGGTCCCTTTGAAGTTAGTTCACTTTCATACTAACAATATGTCTTCTGCATTATGCTCAGTCATGGCACAAGGCCTGCTTCCGATGTGCAAAATGTGGCAAAGGCCTGGAGTCTACAACTTTGGCTGATAAAGATGGAGAAATCTATTGCAAGGGTAAGAGCTGATGTCTCCCTTATGTTCATAACCTATGGTGTGTAATGATTAGTTGCTAGTCAGGTATCAGATGGATGCTAATGCAGGAGATGTTCTCTTGTGTAAAAATGTTGCAAAATCTACAAAAACTGTTTATGCAATGAGTTATGATTTAGAGGTTCAGGAGAGTGACAAGCAGAGGCCTTACATGTCTCTTGTAACACACGTTTACTTGTTTGATTGCAATTTGATTATGGAACAGCATGCCTCAGGTTACCTACTTGAGAGATGTTTTCTAATGATGCTTGATTGCATTTGGGTATAGGATACTATACCAAGCTACAGTTCTTTTGATTGCTCCATTTCTGCACTTGCCAATGGGAATGGCTAAACAAGCTAGATTAATAGTGGTCAACACTGATCAAACCTCTACTATGTTTTCTCAAAAGAGCATGACAGGTCAGGTGGGGGGCAAAGTATGTAATGGAAAATGTAGTCAAGTCTTGAAGCCGGAAGCTGGAAAACAGAAAGCTCTTGTTTTCTAAGCACATGTGTTCACTGATAACTCTGTAAACATGTTTACTATTTATGGCTCTTTCTGAGCTCAGAGCTGTGATTCTAGCTGATTGATTCTTCTGCTGCTTCTCTCTAACAGGTTGCTATGCCAAGAACTTTGGACCTAAAGGCTTTGGCTTTGGCCAGGGAGCAGGAGCCCTTGTCCATTCTCAGTGAAGAACTAGATCCCAGCAGCTTTGAAGCATCCTTCCCAGCCCTGAATGCTTCGCCAGCGCTGTGTTTATCCAATCCAATCCTTAGCAAGTATAAGGCTATCTCACCAGTTTTGTACGTATTAGTAATACAGTAACAACTTGCTGCTCCTTTTTGCTAGTTGGGCAATCTTTCCAGGAGCCTTGTTCCATGGGTCCTTTGAAACCATACAATGGCCCTCACTTCCCATGGCTCATATTAGAATAATGGCCTCCTTTAACATACATTCATGCTTTCAGTCTTTGTTGATGTTTCACACAGCAGCAGAGCACATAGCTGCTTTTGAATAACAAATACTGCAACAGTTGTCTTCCAAAAAAATATTTTCCCCAATCTGGACCAGCATAAATAATTATTTATGTTAGAATATATTTTTTGATACTAAATTACACAGTAACTATGACACTAAGTACTGTGGAAAATATAAGTGATTGTTATGTCCTAGGATGCAAAGCTGCAAATTAAGAAATTGCCTAGAGGCACAAGTAAAGCACATTCCTCAAATTTTAGAGGCAATATAAATAAAGTCTTAGCTCTTAAGTTGAACTAAATGTTGCATTTTCAACAGAAAATATATATTAATCAATAGTCACTAGTTGAGATGCTTTTGTACATTGGTTTGGTAGAATTCAGTTTGATTTTCAAAATATCGAAGACCAAATTTCCATTTTTTGAAGATCCGTATGCATCTATTTTTTTTAACGTTCCTAAAATGTTTCTGAATTTAGAGATGAACAGAATCCACAACTTTTCTAGATTTCATTTTTTTTAGAAAACTGGGATTATTGACGTCCTGTTTGTTGCTGCTTCATTTTTGCATTTTTCCACTTAGCTGAATAATTATTGGATTCATATATTACACTAAGCTGAAGTGTGGTGTGGTTAATTTTGGGTTGGTATGTTGTATAAACCCAACCATTACCATTTAGAAAACATGACCTGGTGTGATATATTAACCAAGCAAAATAGCTTGTTCACTTAAAAACAAACCATACCTTAGATTCAGTGCCTTAGAACGATGAGTGAATCCCTATTGGTAAAATTAAAAAGATTGGGTTGGAATTCCTTTCTTAAACTATGGAAAAGTAAGCATTGTAGATATCCTCATCTTTGGGACCAGAGTTGACAGTTCTAGTTCTTCCTCTTATTAAACATAGAAGACTCCTGCTTTCACAATCTCGTTTCAGTAGGGTGGATTTTTTAGGTTTTTTTAACCGAAAAACTGAAGTGTTACCCAGTTCATGGACTCATATTGCGCTAAATAATTTTATATGAGCCTAGTGCACATAGATTTCATTTATAATGCAGCCTCTTTAATGTTTAGTCCCCATTCAGTACTTAATATGGGATTAAATTAAAGTGCAGTAATTCTGTATGCACAACAAATGAAACTGTAGCAGTAGCAATTTATAATTTTGTTATTATTAAGGTTGTTCAGTGCTTTGAAAATAATTTAGGAAAGAAGCTTCTATTGTAACGTGTAGCTACAATAGTAGTAATTACAATTGTCCAAACATGACTTTCCAAAGATTTTTCTATGGTGGCAGAGAACAGCCATATGATCATAAGAAAATATATGATTACTTTAAAATGTATTAAACAGGCACTATCTTTATGCATCCATGTGCTTTGAAGTTTTCTTTTGAAACTGAATCCAATTGTTACAAATACCTGTTACAAATGTAAACTATGTTCAGAAAAACTTCTCTGTCTTCAATAAAGCAGTCAAAATGAACCTCGCGTGTCTTGCAAACTTCTATTTTTTCCAAATTTTATGGACTGTTGGAACACATTTATGAGAAGAGGCTCAGGGTTCCATGTCTCTCCAGCAGCAGGATAATCCTTTGAAAATAGAACAGTCAGGCCAAATTTAGTATGGTAGTAAAAGCTGACAAAAGGAGGCTAAAATTCCAAAATGGGTCAGATCCAGTTAGAACTGGGACGGGGTGGGGAGGGAATCACCAGAAGAATTCATTCATTCAGAGAAGCAGAGCCTCTTGATTCTGCTGAAGACTCCATCACAAAGTTCTGCCTTTTCTAATGCTTCCCTTCTAGTCACATAATTATTCCCACTTGCATAACCTGTTGGATCAACCATTAAGGACATGGAAACAGTTCCAGAAGCAGAATTTTGTATGCTTTTTTTTTCATTAGAATTAGAATTATTTATTTGTTAGTGTACAACATATGTACAATGAGATTGGTTGAGCTCCCTCAGTGTAGGCTCCACCAATACACTACAATGCAATACAGTGAAGACAGAAAATCCCTAACCCAATAAATCATTTTAACAAACATCCAGTCCAATTGGACCAGTGTGAACATATTATACATTGCACCGATCCTACAAGTCCATTATACTACGTAGTTATGATGTTATTTCGCATTCAGGAGTCTGACAGCCCACGGATAGAAACTGTTCTTCTCCCTGTTTGTGGCTGGCTATGCTTCCATATCTTCTTCCTGATGGTAGGATGGTAAAGAAGTGCCATCCAGGGTGTGAGTCATCCCTCACACCCTTTAATTAATAAACATAAAGAAACCCACCTGTTTTAATCCATGGGGTGAGTGCCTAAAGATTTGTAGTCATATCTTACAGTCTGAGACCAGAGTCAAAAGTATGTATTTTTTCCCCCCCTTGCATTCTCTTCTATATCCATTCTCATGCCTGCCCAAGGGACTCAGAGTAGAGCATCTCATTCCAAGAGTCACTGCTGGAAATCATGTGATCCTCCAGTTTGATTTCAGGGGGCAAATTCTAATTGAGGGGAGAGAAAAAAGAATCTTCTGGAGTATTGGGGATTTTTCCACATGACCGCTCAAAGATATCAATAGGAGAAAAGGCCAATCTGAATGCTTGAGCCTTATGCTTACAGCTTCTGTGTCTGAATAAGACACAACTAAAGGTGGTTCTTTTCAGATGAAATTCATGCATTAAAACCAGTCCCTTTGTTTATTTAGAGCAAGTGGAGATAGTGGGGTCCTTCTGCAGTGTAATTTAAACACATTATTTTGTGCTATATTCATTTCCATTTTAGTTTTATAGTTTTGCCTATCCTGAAGTCTCGAGGCAAATATTTTTTTGTTCCTCAAGTCAAAAGAGTAGAATCTATTGGTATTTTTTTCTGTTCTGCTTTTATTTACTTAGCTGTTATTTTTCCATTTCTTTGAATCTGTTCTTAATTTTCTCCCTTGTTCCTATGGGCTAAAAACATCTCATCTCTCTCCTTTCAAGGCAGGCCAACCTCCCAGTATGACCCTAGTGGTTTAGAATATTCACATACACACACACACACAAACACACACACACACAGAGAGAGAGAGAGAGAGAGAGAGAGAGAGAGAGAGAGAGAGAGAGAG